ATGCTGAAAAATTATTGGGTGATTAGATTCTTCAAACTTCTTGTGGGTCTATGGTGAAGAAAGCACTTTATTATTCTTGTGCTTATTTATTTAACAAAGTAGGTGTACAAAATAAATTATTCAAATTATCCTCAAACAAGGGAAAAAGCCTTGTCCAAAAAAAAAATAGAGAAGAGGTTAATGAAGTAATAGTGAAATAAGGTTAAATTATTTAATTATTTTTTAATATTTTGAAGAAAGCACTTTATTAACCAAATAAAATAAGATTTCGAAGTAATACATATTTTGTATCCCCCCTCCTCTTGATGTGTACAATATGTTCATTTTCATTTTGTTGACATCGCAACTATTATATTTGAGGTGCAATTTTAGAGTGATCGCTCTTGTGGATATTCATGGTTTATTTTTGGGTCTTAATTGGATAGGCTTCTGGTTTAATGACGCTCAAGTAATGAGTTGTCCCATTTTTATTTTTATTTTTTAAGGCTTGTAGTTCGCCAAGTATAATCAGAAACTTAAAATAGATGCTGAAAAATTATTGGGTGATTAGATTCTTCAAACTTCTTGTGGGTCTATGGTGAAGAAAGCACTTTATTATTCTTGTGCTTATTTATTTAACAAAGTAGGTGTACAAAATAAATTATTCAAATTATCCTCAAACAAGGGAAAAAGCCTTGTCCAAAAGAAAAATAGAGAAGGGGTTAATGAAGTAATAGTAACATGGAGAGTTAATTCCTTGACATTGAACAACAATTTTGAGCCTTGACCTGTGTTTGAATTTATTTTGGATAAATTACACTTTGCTCATTTTGTATTTGGTCACTTTCCTACTTTGGAAAGATCAAATGAGTTGTAGTTCTCTCCACTTTGGAGGCGTTTACAATTGTCACATATTCATTTTCTCTCCCGAAGGTTGTCTCTTTTAAGTAAGCATACTGTGCCATTCTTGTTATTTTGTCAATATCCATGCCCAATTTCAATCTATCCAGCTTTACCAGATTAGGGTTTTTTAGGGTTTCATATACTTCATGATTTGTTTTTGAACTGTGAAGGCTGTTGAAATAGCCTTGATTAGTGTGCATTGTCACACAAAATAATGCATGAGAGAGAGAGAGAGAGAGAGAGAGAGAGAAGGGCCTGTTTTTGTTATTTTTTCTTTTGTATCTGTCTGAAACTCTAATGGAGGTAATTGTAATTTACGTTTAATTTTACTTCTATCTTGGTATGCTTAAAAAATGGTCACCATTGCTTGTGTGAAAGCTGATGCCTAAACTTCTTTTATCTTTTTGAATAGCTACAACAAAAAAATAAAAAAAATTCCTGGCATTTTTGTGTTTGTGTTTCTAAGAGGTGTTTTTTAAATCTGATTAACAGCTTTTCAGATTCTCTTCAATTGGACGCCATTGTTTAGGGCCTATTCTCATCCATGTTGAAGTTGTTGTGGAAAGGCAG